TCATAATTTAGAAAAATTAGATTGCCACATGAATATAATTAATTATTTTCAAAATAATTAAATAAAATCATGTAAACTCCTCATTTTTTTAATTTAATTGTTTGAAAAACTAATTTAATGTATATACCTAAATAACTATTTCTAATCTTAATACAATAATAAATATTATATATATACGTGGATAAGATTAAAGTAATTTAATATGTACTTGTAAATTAACTATTTCTAAAATTATTTTAGTACACGTGTCTATATTATAAATATGCATACGTTAGTACATTATAATTCATCATATCGATTATAATGAATGTAATTATAATTTATGATTGATTCTAAACGTGCATAAATTTAATTTATCACTGCTATGAATATTTTAGTGTTATATATCTATATGTAGATATGATCGATGTGCATTGCATAAAATATATTGAATTATAATACATTCGAAAGTTTAGTCTATTTAATACATATTTTCTATTATCATAAATATGTTATGGGTATGAATTTATGACATACCATTTTTGGAAAACAATGATGGACTCTCTCTCTCTCTCTCTCTCTCTATCTCTATAGTTATTTGTATTTGTGGCTTATAATGCGAGATTTAAATACGGAATATCAAGAAGCAAAACAATAAGAAAAAAAAAAAGTAGGGTATGATTATGTGATTTACTTGCTACAAAATATTGTGCGGTTTGCTTACTTTAATATCTCGACTTTTTTCTTTAACAAGATTCGTTATATATGCACTTTCTATTCATATGTGTATGTACATATGTGTGTGTGTATATATATACACGGCAAACTAGAAAAATTTTGTGAATTTTGGAGTTTGGGTCTTTAAATGAATATCTTTTGATGACAAATATATATATACGTACACACACAATAACTTTCTAACTTGGAAGATGACAAAAGAATTTTTGATCACATTAATAATTAATTAGTAAATAAATCAACAAAAAAAATTAGAGTTAACTAAATTGTGAAATATGTTGAGGAATAAGACACGTAGAATGCAGAAGACATACTGATTAAAGATATCCGAGAGTCTACTCACATGTATATATATATATATGTCTTGATGTAAAAATTATTGTTTGCACTTAAGATCATAATACAAATTTGATCGTGTGTGGATAAATATTTATTTTTTATTTTAAAAATAAGATATTTGAGACTGTTTTTATAGTTCAAACATTAGTTCATAAATTTAATTAGAATAATTATAATTAGGGTAAAGTAAATCAAAAAAAATATTATTTAATTTGGAGAAATTAAGGAGAAAAGAAAAAATTAGATGCTGAGTTCAGACATCCTTTAGATCTTGCAAGTCTCAAAGTGAGTGAGTGGTGTCAGAAAATGAAAAGGAAAAAAAATAAAAAAAATAAAGAAAAAGCAAATTTCTGAAATATTTTATTTTTTATTTTGTGAAAAAGAGGCAACATTTGGGGAAGTGTGTCGGTGGTGGGTTCATTTGCACGCTAAACAATATATATATATATATATATATGTGTGTGTATGGAATTTCTAAATGTTATAAAAAAATATTCACCGGCTGTTGTTGTAAAAATTAAATTGGGAATTTGTTGGTTCCCAGCTGGATCTGCATAGTTGTGGACTCTTCTCCCACCTCACATCACATGTCCCATCAACTTTTTCCAACTACTTTATATATTTTTTTTTTATTTTTTTCTCTCTCAGAGAGGAGATTCCGATGTTCTCTCTTCTTTAATTTTTTTTTTTTTTTTTTTTATATTTTTTCAATTTTCTCCTGTTAAATTTTCTGATTTTGAAGTAATTTCCTCATCAACTTGTTCCTCTTTTTCCATCTATAAATTCCTGGTCACTCAATAGCTTCTCCTCCTTTACTTTCTGCTTCTCCTCTTTACCGCTCTCCTAAGCATCTTCCTTCTCTTCATATATATTTTATATTCTTAATCTCGCGGCTTCTCAAATCTGAAGCCTTCTTCTTTAGCTTTGAGAGATCTCTTTCCTTTAAACCAAATCCACAACCCCTTTGCTTGATCTGGTTTTTCACCCCTGGATTCCAAGAAAAAACAAAATTGAGACCCATGGTCCATTTAGTTTCTGGGTTTTGTTGATTTTGCAGGAAAGAAACTTGGGTTTTTTTTTTTTTGCTTGTTCGTTTAAAGCACGTTTCCTTCATCTGGGTCTGTTTGGTTCATTTTGTTTCTGGGTTTTGCTGATTTTCCAGGAAAGAAAAAGGGTTTTGCTGTCTTTCTGGTTCATCAAAAAACCCATTATTGCTTCTCAGATTTATTGATGCTGGGTTGGTGTTTTTGATCTCTGTATCAAACATCAATTCAAATCTCATTTTAAAAAAAAAAAAAAAAGTTTGTTTGGCTAACTTTTGAGCCTTATTTAAATGCTTAATATCTTGTTTTTAATGTTTGAAATTCATGTCTCCAATTCTCTGTGAAGGTCTCCTTTCTGAGTTTATGATCAATTCCTTGTTCAGGCGCAGGACCCAACTTGTTCAATCCTTCTCCGTCGTCTTCCTCTACTGGCTCTACTACGTTTCATGATTAGAAATTAATCTCTGCTTATTAATTAATCTATAATAGTTATATTAATAATAATAATCTATAAATAATCAAGAAAAATTTCTCCTGTTTCTTTCTTCAAATTTCAAGCTTTTTTTTACTACCCGGGTCCTGCAGCTTAATCAATAATTCTTCTTAAATCTCTCACTTTTTCTTCCCAGCCAAACTATTAAAAAAAAAAAAAAAAGAAAAGGAAAGAAAACATCCATGGCGTCCTCCAGCGGCACATCTTCCGGGTCCTCTCTGATACAGAACTCCGGCTCCGAGGAGGATTTACAGGCGCTAATGGATCAGAGAAAGAGGAAACGAATGATCTCCAACAGAGAATCTGCAAGAAGGTCGAGAATGAGGAAACAGAAGCACTTGGATGATTTAATGTCGCAGGTTAGTCAGCTGAGGAAGGAGAATCATCAGATCATCACCAGCGTCAACATCACGACTCAGCACTACCTTAACATTGAGTCGGAGAACTCAGTCCTCCGAGCTCAGGCGAGTGAACTCAGCCACCGGTTACAGTCTCTCAACGAGATTGTGAGTTTCTTGAACGCCAACAATGGCGGGTATGGAGGGGGAAACGACGGCGGATTCGGAGGTGGGAATAGTAATTTCACTTCATCATCGGGTGGCGCGCTGGCTGATCATCAGACGGCTGAGAGTTTCCTGGACCCATTCAACTTGATTTACTTGAACCAGCCGATCATGGCCTCTGCTGATATTTTTCAATATTAATTTACTTATCCGTAATTAAAATTAATTACGGGTAAATTTACAAGTTACAAAAATTTTAATTCTA